CACCCCGAGCGCATCGCCCTCGGCGCCGACGAGCTCCCGGAGGAAGCGACCCTGCCGCACTGGGACCAGCGCCTCCTCCGCAGCCGCCACCAGCTGGACGGGCTTCTCGAGAAGCTGGAGGCGGCGGGGCTCATCACCTATCGGAGGAAGGTCATCTCGCGTGCAGGGATTTTCTTCGTGCAGAAGAAGACGGGGATGCTGCGTATGGTGCTGGATTGCCGGCCTGCCAACGCGCTTCACAAGCGAGCCCCCCACTCGCGGCTCGCCACCAACAGCGCGATGGCTTCGCTGGTGCTCGACCCGGCGTACGGGGGCGAGCCCGCCGCGGACACGCCGGCGCTGTGGGGCGCCTCCGTGGACCTGCAGGACGGCTTTTACCAGTTCCTGGCGCCGACGGTGTCGCACTACTTCGGCCTGGGGCGCGTCCGCCTTGCCGGCGACGTGGGCATCGATGCCGTCTTCGACCCCGAGGTCGGGCACGACGTGCCGGTCTCCCCTGAGACCCCGCTGGAGGCCTGCTTCGGCGGGCTGCCGATGGGGTGGAGCTGGGCGCTCTACTTCTGCCACAGCGCCGTCTCGCTGGCGTGCAGGCGCGCGCAGGAGGCGCTGGGGCTGCCGCCGGTGCTGGTGGGGGACAGGCAGCCGCCGCCTCCGCTGGGCCCGGGCGTGGCGGTCTGCGCGCCGTACGTGGACAACGCCAACGTCCTGGGCTCCGACAAGCGCACCGTGGCCGCCCTGCACCAGAAGGTGGTGGACGAGCTGGAGAAGGCCGGCTTCGTGCTCCACGAGAGGGTGGACCCGACGCAGGACTTTGAGGCCATCGGGCTCCTGTTTGACGGGGCCCGGCGCTGGATCCGCCAGAAGCCGTCGCGCTCCTGGCGCCTCTGGCTGGCTCTCACCGAGGTGCTGCGGAGGAGGTCGCTCAGCCGGGACCACGTGCGGCAGCTCCTCGGCCATCTCGCGCACCACTTCAGCCTGCGGCGGTGCGCCCTCGCCTGCTTCAGCGAGGCGTACCGGTTCGTGGGCACTGGTGGTCGCGACGTGGTCCGGCTGCCGTCCGCGGTGCTGGACGAGCTGGCGGTCGCCCGCGGGCTGGTGCACTTCTCGCACGTGGACGTCGCGGCGCCCATGCTGCCCCGCTGTTACTGCAGCGATGCGTCGACGGAGGGGTACGCGCTCCACTGCGCCGTGGCGTCGCCCGCCGAGCTCTGGCCCACTGCGGTCTGGCGTGAGCGTTGGCGCTTCGTGGAGCCGACGGACTCGATGGCCCGGGCCGACCTGGAGACGCTGCGCGGCTGCCTGGTGGCGGGCCCCCCGGCCCCCGGCTCGTTCTCCGAGTGGGTCGATGAGGAGCTGGACTCGGCGCTTCAGCGCGAGCTCGACGAGCGGCCGGGTGTCGTCCGCGCGGGCGACCGGCCCCACGGCAAGCAGCCGCGCGTGCAGCGAGAGGTCACCGGCCTCGTCCCCATGGTCGCCGACTCGTTCGTGGAGCCGAGGCGGTGGAGGCGCCTGGTGGTGGGACGCTGGCGGCGGCACGCCGCCATCCACTGCAAGGAGGCGCGAGCCGCCCTCCTCGGGCTCCACCGCGAGCTGGAGCAGCCCAGCTCGCACGGCCACCACGTCCTCAGCTTCGGGGACAACCTCGCGGAGACCCTCGCCTTTGATCGAGGGCGGGCGCGGGACGCTGAGCTGCTGGGGCTGGTGCGACGCGCGGCGGCCGCGCAGCTCGCCGGCGGCCTGTACTGGCACCGCCGCTACGTGGAGACCGACAGGAACCCGTCTGACGAGGACTCGAGGCTTGCCTACCAGGGGTGGCTGCGCCCTGGTCAGCGCGTGTCGGGCGCAGGCCTTCGCGGGCTTCCCCTCGCGGCCGCCGTCGGGCCAGAGTGGGAGCGGTCCGCGCCTGTGCCCCAAGGCCCGCGCGGGCCTGCCGCGGGCGCCGAGCCCTGTACCCCTGAACCGACGGCTGCCGCCCCTGACGTCGACCCCGAGGTGGACCGCGACCGACAGCAGGACCCCATGGGCCGCCCGGTGCGGTCAGGAACCCTGCGGGGGCCCCCTGACGGCCGGGCGCGTGCTGAAGGTCGCCGAGTCCCCGACGTCACCCGAGCCCGGCCCGCCGTCCTGGAGCTCTTTGCCGGGTGCGGGCGGGCGACGGCCGCCGTCGCCGAGATCGGCCTCCGCGTGGCAGTTCCTGTCGATGTGCGTCATGGTCGGCATCATGATCTTCTCAATCGCAAAGTTGCTACTGAAATTGTGCGGTGGATTCGGGCGGGGGCCATCTGGGCCGTTCTGCTCGGCACGCCGTGCACGGGGTGGACACCGGCCCGGACTACTGGGTTGGCTTCTCCGCCTTCGACGAGGTGCGTCGAATTCACTGTTCGGATCCTCGAGCTCTGCTACCGCATGGGCGTCCACGTGGTGCTGGAGAACCCTGCTCGTTCGCGGCTGTTCCAGCACCGGGGTATCGCCCGGGCCCTCAGGAAGCTCGGCGCTGCGCACCTGGTCTTCGACATGTGCGCGTTCGGCGCCCCCTGGAAGAAGCCCACGGCCATCGCCACCACTCTGCCCTCCGCCGGGGGGCTTGCGCGGCGCTGCCCATGCCCTGGGGCGCCGCACGTCCGGCTCCAGGGAAAGGTCCGCCTGGCGGGCCAGCCCTCGGAGTGGCGCACGGCCTACGCTGCGGCTTATCCTCCTGAGCTGTGCCGCGCTCTGGCCGACGTGCTCGGCCATGCCGCCCCGCCGCGAGCCTGGCGCGAGGCGCGGGAGGCTCCCCTCGCTGCCTGCTGGGAGCGACGCCTGGCAGCCGCGGCGGGCGTCGAGTGCTGGGCCAGCGGGCGACGCGTGGACCTCGCGGCAGTGGGGTCGAGGTGCCGGCTCGGCTGGGAGGGCGCGATCGAGCACTGGGACGGGGACCACTGGACCGTCGAGCTCGAGGCCTTTGCCGCCCATCGCCGAGCCCGACGAGCTGCGGCGAGAGCGGCGGCACCGCGCGGCCGCGCGCGAGCGCTACCACGGGGCCGAGCCGGGCGTCTGCCGGCGAGCGGCTGTGCGGCCTGCCACGGCATCGGCCTACCGCCGGGCCTTTTCTGACGTGCAGGCCTGGGCGGGCCTCCACGGGCAGCTGCCCGCCACCGCTGACGGGTGGGACCGCGTCCTCGACGGCTACCTCGACATGCTGTTCCTCCGCGGGGACAGCGTCAGCGCCGCCCGGTACGCTGTGTTCGGCACGGCCTACTGCATCGGGCTGCCAGCCCGGTCGCCGGCGACGCTCCCTCTCGCTCGTGCTGCGCTCCACGGCTTCGGACGAGCCAACCCTGACAAGGTCAGAGACTCGTTGCCGCTGGAGATCGTCTGGCTGTGCACTGATTTCTGGTTCCACAACTGCGGGCACCAGGGCAAAGTGGCCGCCGCGGCGGCGTGGATCGCCGTCGACTGCTACCTCCGACCGACTGAAGCCCTGCAGCTGGCCGCTGACCGTGTCTCTCTGCCGCGACAGGCAAAGGACCCTGTCGTCGTGACAGTTGCGCCAGCCTCGCAGGATGTGCCCGCGAAAAATTTCCAGTATGATGCTTCGACAGTAGTGGGTGCTCATGATAGGGAGTGGGTTTCCAAGCTTGTCCTCACCCTCGCTCGTTCCTCTGCCTCCGGACCTCTCCTCGACCTCTCCCTCGCTCAATGGGAACAACTGTGTCGCCAGTTTCGCCGAGCCCAGTTTTCTGAGAAGCTTCCCCTCACCCCGCATGCCTTTCGGCACGCGGGTCCTAGTCATGATGCATGGTGGTTTAAGGACGATGCTGACAAGCTCCAAGCTCGAGGTAGGTGGCTCAGCCGATCGTCTGTCCTGCGCTATGCCAAACCAGCGGGGATGCTTCGCAATCGGTCCTCGCTCTCTCGCCAGCAGCTGCAGCTTTCAGAGAAGATATCCCAGCGGCTCCCAGCGCAGATTCTTGAATATTTTGGCCCGCCCGTGTCTCGCTCTGCTCGCCTCCCACCCTCGGCTAGCCGCACCAAACGGAAGTTGGGCAGTGTGGGCACGAGCAGGTAGGCCTCCTCGAACTGGGCCTCCCTGCTTTCATGGGGGCTTCGCCCCCCCTCAGGAGTCTGCGCTGCCGTGGAGAAAATATGTCCTTTGTCATTTTTGTAATTCCTTGGGCTTGCGCCCATCGCCGCTCCCCCCCGGTCCCGCGTCGGGGTTACAGCCGCTCCGCGGGGGGAAGGCGGTTTGGGGCCGGCGCGATTGTCATCACCATCACCATCATCACACATGTCTTCATCCTCCTTCGCCTCCTCCTCCTCCTCCTCCTCCTCCTCCTCATCATCATCATCATCATCATCAACATCGGCACCAACACCATCATCAACAACATCATCAATCTAATGACATCATCATCCTCGTCATCATCATCATCATCATCATCATCATCATCATCATCATCATCATCATCATCATCATCATCATCATCATCATCATCATCATCATCATGGTCATCATCATCATCATCAGCATCATCATGATCAATATCATCATCAGCAGCAGCATCATCATCATCGTAATCGCCATCTAATATTCCTCCTCACCACCATCATCATCAGCAACAGCAGCATCATCGTCAGCAGCAACATCATCATCATCATCATCATCAGCAGCAGCAGCATCAACATCATAACCATTATCATCATCAGCATCATCCTCATCTGCAGCAACATCATCTTCACCATCACCATCACCATGAGCATCATCATCATAATCAGCATCAGCATCGTCATCATCATGATCATCAGCATCATCATCATCATCATAATCATTGTCATCATCATCATCAGCATCATCATCTGCATCATAATCATAATCAGCATCATCAACATCAGCATCATCATCATCAGCATCAGCCTCAACATCATCAACATCATCATCAACATCATCATGATCATCATCAATGCCATCCTCCGCCTCATCCGCCTCCGCCTACTCGTCCTCTGACTTCCTCCCTTTTTCATCCGTGTTCCCCTCCCGCTCCAATGGAAACGTCTTGAAGCCGCGCCCCTCAGCGGGCCCTCGGAGACACGCCCTGTCACTGCAGGCAGCGCTTGGCTTTGGGCCGAGGGAGCATCTGCGCCTTAGAAGCGACCGTCTGATCCACGGTCCGACTCTGAGCCTGATCCCGGTCGATCCGTATCTCTCCCTCCCTGCTACGTCCTCCCTGCTCATGCCTCGAGATTGTTGTCCCTCCCTGTGCACCTCTGTGCCTCCCTACCCTTCCCCATCCCTTTGTATCCTCCCTATCCCTGCCTGCATCCCTACCCTGACCCCGGGACCTGCACATATGGGACGCGGCGCGCATCGCGCGCGGGGAACGTCTAGCCGCCCACGATATAAGATAAACGACGGGCGTCGGACGCGACGCGCTTGCTTCTTATGTTGTGGGAGGGCGGGTGGGAGTGGACGGAGCCCTCTCGCTCGTTCGAGCTGGCTAACTTGACTGCTACCCCTATCCCTACATGTGTGCACGCCTGGGGCCCGCGGCCGCGCCCCATCGGCCGACACCCTGTCCCTCCCAACGCCTCTCCCATGAGTCCCCTGTCTAGGCATCCGTCGCTCCCCCTTGCGCTGCGCCCGTTCCTCCCTCCCTCCCTCCCTCCCTCCCTCCCTCCCCCTCCGCTTGCCGTCCACATCTCTCTCTCTCTCTCTCTTTCTCTTTCTCTTTTTCTCTCTCTCTCTCTCTCTCTCTTTCTCCCTCTTTTTTTTTTTCTCTCTCTCTCTCTCTCTCTCTCTCTCTCTCACTATACTACTTATCCAACGGAAAGGGCTGGGCCAACCGCTGCAGAGCCACCTGATCCTCCACGTACTCCTCCTCCTCCTCCTCCTCCTCCTCCTCCTCCTCCGCCTCCGCCTCCGCCTCCTCATCCTCCTCCTCCCCCTCCTCCTCTTCCTCATCCTCCTCCTCCTTCTCCTCCTCCTCCTCCGCCAATTCCGACTCCGACCCCGACTCCTGGTCCGACTCCGACTCCGACTCCGACTGACACTTCTTCTTCCTCCTCCTCCTCCTCCTGCTCCCTCCCTCCCTCCTTCCTGCCCCCTCTACTCTTCTGATGAGCGGGGGGGGGCCGCCCTCCTAAGGTCTGCGCCAGCGCCTCCCGGAGGGCCTCCAGCGGGAGAGCCCAGGGCCCTCTGACCGCCCGCGCCATCTCGTGGGCGACCCAAGGGCCCATCAGCTCCTTCGACACCTCGGCCGTCCTGTCCCTGCTCCTCGTCGTCCCTGCTCCTCCCCCTCCTCCTCCACCTCCTCCTCCGCCTCCCCCTCCTCCTCCTCCTCCTCCTCCTCCTCCTCCGCCTCCTCCTACTCCTACTCCTACTCTTCCTCCTTTCCCTCCTTTCCCTCGCTTTCCTCCTTTTCCTCCTTTCCCTCCTTTTCCTCTTTTTCCTTCTTTGCCTCCTCATCCTGACTGATTGACTGACTGACTGACTAACGGCATGAGGGTCCTCCAGACGCTGTCAACGCCACCCCCGCCCCCCTCGCGCCGCCGTCTGGCATGCGAGGGGAAATATGATGGAACTGGAACCATCGCGCGCGCGCTTCGCGCGCGCTCAGGGTCTAGCAGGCCCCAGACCTTGACGAGTTCATTGCTCCACTGGAATAGTGAACCAATTGACGCATGTCAATCCGCATTTCGGAAGGCTCTCGGGGAAGATGGTTGCGTAGGGGGGCGAAGGCCGGATGAATCGGTTTCCCAGAGGGCCTTCAGGTAACATGGGTTTCGGGGGTGTCTTGGAGAGCCTGCTGGGGCGTGCCGTCGTCGTCGCCGTCGTCGTCGTCGTAATGTCGTCGTCGCCTCGTGGGGCCCGCCGTCCGTCGTCGTCGTCGTCGTCTTCGTCGTTTCGTCGTTTTCGTCGTCGTCGCCGTTGTCATCGCTTCAAGAGGGCACTTGGGCCAACTCTGTGCGAAACGATATGCGGGGGGGCCGTGAGAAGGAGATCATTCATGTTCCTTATCAACTTCCCAGACAGCTCTCCAGTAGCGTGATGATACTTCGGAGCCTCTGGAGACTCTCGGGCCCATGATGAACCATGTCCCCGGAAGGCTTTATGGGGACATGATTTCTTAGCTTGAAGGGGGCGGGGAGGCCCAGCCAGCAGCTTCGCCTTAGGCGAAGCCAAGCTCCAGCTCTGTTGTACCGTAGTAACGATAGTCCCAGTAGGAGAGGATGTGCCATCTCAAGCACTAGGAACATCATGTTGGTCTCGATAGCGATTGTGTGCGAGGCACAATCATATTTGAGCGGCCGGCCGCTTGAGCCGACGCGGCCGCGGGCGCACGCTCGCTTCCGCTCCTTACGTCCCTCAGCTCACTTTAGAATCGGGGGGGGAGGGAGACGAAGCGTGGGCCCGTCGCCCCTGCACAGCAGGCGCAGCAGCTAATATACACAAGGACAGAAACAAAAAGAGGGGCGGGCCAGAAGGTGGGCCCGCTCGCAAGTTGCCTTGCTTGTGCAGTTCTGTACTTGAAATGCTCCTCAGGCGGCGTCAGAACTGGATGTCTGGCCGGCCCGATATGGAGTATGTCTCTCCAGGTCATGCTTGAAGGCCTGTATACCTCCCATGACTTGTAGGAGCATTTCTCTGTCGATGCTCCCCTTGGTGTGACCATCCGCGGTCATTTCGCGGGTGTCGCACCACTGGATGCTGTGCACGATTCCACGTTCCATCTGTCGTATCCAACTGATGTGTCCAAAAAGGGTACACTCCGTCGGCTTCTTCAAGACTTTGCTTGACAAGGACTTAAAACAGACTCAGCATCTATGGTCAAAGCGACCTTGATGCTCATGCCACCCAACTCAAGTATATCTTTCAACTGAGTGGGCGCGAGCGGCCCTGCGTGGAGCTCGTGCAGAGTCACAATCGTGGGGTAACAGTCCTCCAAAGTACGGGCTGCTGCTAGTGTCTCTGCTGAATAGCTCGAGCGGACCTGCAAGCGGCGAGACTTGCAGTGCGCATCGATCAAGTGAACGACAAGCTTACTGGATGACGTGTTTCCACGTCGTAGCAAGTTTGCCCCGCGAATACCATAACCTTCGACGTCGTCGTCGGCGTCTCCACTCAGGCGTCGGTATCCTGAGTCGCTATGCAGGTCGACATCGCCCGTAGGAATCATCGCATGGTAGACGATCTTCTTTGGGCAGGCCTGCAGCTTCCGGGTGATCGCGCTCAGTCGTCGCACTTGGATGTTGGTCGATTCTCGGATACGTTGTAGAGATACAACATACACCATCAACCACACCTGGGTGATCAATGCATACGCCAGCGCGCCCCTGAGGCTGGCGAACATGTCTGCAACCATCTTGGATACCTGGGCGTCAGCGTCGGCGCCGGTAAGTTCACGATGCTGTATAGGACGGAGCTGTTTGATGTATTCATCTTGGCCCAAAGTGACATTGCCGTCCTCGTCCTTGGTATCTCCCAGCACAGTTGGTGCATGTGTGCTTGTTGAGTTGACACTTGCCAAAAGAATCTTCCCCGCACTTGACATACTTGTCAATTGTGTCCTCAGTACCGGCCATATTGATATCAGCAACATGCGTGGCCGCGAGCAAATTGTTGCTCGTCTCGAACTCCTCGTCGTAGGACGTGGGTCGGAGACCAAACCTCCGGCGGTCCTTCTGAGCTTTAGTGGGAAAGCCCGCGGTGCGTCTTTGGTGCCCGTGCCTGGTTTCAAGCACTGCAGGCAGTGCTTTGACTCATCGCAGCGTTCGAATCCTGGGAGGGTTCGGAGCGCCGTGGCTGATCCAGGCGGCAAAGTAAAACACGCCACACGTTCCTTTTCACCAGTGGCCTCAGCAAATTTCTGATAGGTCAATCCCTTCAGGAAGGCCATGTTGATGTCGAGGGAAGCAATGATCCATTGCTTCTTGCACGCTGTCGCGCTGGCGAGTAGCCTCTGGCTTGGCCGTCGCGCCGTTCCCGAAAAAAGGCTTCTACGTCGAAGGCTTCAAGGTCCATGAAATCTCGGAGTACCAGGCGTAGTCTGATGGTACGCTCCATCTCGCCCTTCTCGTTCTTCTTGAACTTCCATGTGTACACGTATCTCGAAGTCATGATGTTCGACGCTCTAGCAATATCTTGCATCGTAAACCACTCGTTGTCGAACCATGTCTTGAGTTCAGTGCAGAGGGCCTTCGATAGTTTATCTGGATTCGCCTGGATGCCAGCTTTCGCCAGAAGGTCGTCTTCCTTGACGACCGCAGCTCGCTCTACAGCGGCGGTTACGCATACTCGCATAGTGGTCACCCTGTCGGCATCTAGTATCATATGTTGTTGTTCGGACAGGAAGACCTTTGACACTTCTGCCGCAAAGCAGAGTTCGACATATCGATCAGTTTCGTCTGGGTCCAGTCCGCATATGTCGCCTTCGACCATGGTGCACATTGGGACGTCGAACCCCCCCTCGGCGTCGGAGTCGCGAGCGCGCCCCCGCTTCGGCGGGCGTCCCAGCTGTTCATCAGCAACAAGGATCAGCACACCTTGATCTGGAACCATCTGTGTAGGTTTGGTAAAGGTCCTCTGGTGGAGTTGCCTCCAGCAGTTCCCTTTCCTCTTGCAGTTCTGCACGCCGCGCTTCCATGACACGCGACTCGAGATCAGCCTCTGATTCTTCGTAGATCGTAGAAAGCCACCCATCATCATGTGATAGTTCGGCTTCTGAGGCTTCTCTCGTGCTTCCCTCCGGTGTCGGTTTATCCGCCAATTCGTCAGATCTTGTCACGTCCTGATCAAAACCTGCTTGAGGTTGAGTGGACTTCGGGCATTGGATAATTCTCGAATGTGCTGATCCGGTTATGTCGTGTATATTCAAAGCAGTACCTTCTGCTCCATAATAATGAAATCCTGGGTTATCGTCGTTGTCATAGTGGACCAATGCGCAGCTGTCAGCATAAGTAACCGGAGGCAGCTTATGAATACCCTTGGCTAGCCTGACTGAAACTACATTCTCAATGCGGAAGAAGTTTCTGATAAGGTACTGCAACGCTAGATGCACCTTAGGAGATAGACGGCTTGCACTCGTCATCTGAAGCGCCCCTTTCTTGGTCGGCACATAGCCAAAGGTCAGAGCAGGCCCCCCCCCACTGATAGACTGGCCACGAATGTCAACACTGTGCGCAATGCCGTGCTATCGGGGCCAATCTCTCGGGCCATCAGTGTTTCAAAAAAATAGCGAATGTCTTGCAACGCCGTACTGTACTTGAACATCTCGATTGTCCACTCGGATGATGACTTGACCCCTGTCGGGATCATTGTTTACAACTGGGAACGGGCCATTCCAGCCTCCCCAACCATCCTTCTTGGTCGCGGGGCGATGATAGTCGACCAAGTCTCCTTCATCGTAATAGTGCTGCCCAGTAATAGTTGTTCTAGTGCGTAAGGCACGATTGGTCCTAGCTACTGCTGTGGCCTGTGCGATAGCTTCAATGCATACCCTGCGCATCGTCTACCAACGAGAATGGTCCGACGTTTTCCGTCGGCTGCTCGTGGTCCAGGACAGGCAGGTCAGGGAGCATGGCTGGTTGCCGTCCAAACAGAGCGTTAGATGGAGACACCTCGTCATAGAAGGTGAACGCGTTGGCGGCGAACAAAGCCTCGTGCAATAGCCGTGTGAACGCAAGAGGTATGTCCAACCTATTGAGTTCAGCTTCAATGACGTGAAGTAGATGGCGCAGGATGCCATTTCTGGCTCCGATCGTCGTAGCGCGCTGTCCACGCGCACGCATCCTAAGTTGAGTGCCTTTTGCCTGAAGGACTGCTTTCGCAGTGTCGTTGTTAAGGGCACCCTCTCCGTCGGAGTAGAGTACCTTTGCAAGTCCAAACTGCATCCAGCACTGATGATATGCATCCAGGATCCTTGTCGTAGTCTTGCCTGGTATCTCAATCCCAGTAGCATATCGAAGACAGCGATCGATGATATGGAAGACTTTGTGCTCTTGCTTGTAGAACATCAGATCGCATTCCGTTTCTCCATTACATTTGCCAGGCGGTGCGGTGGAGGGCATAACAGTATGCCCAGGCTTGTCCCACGCTCTGCACTCCCGACATGTGTCTCAGACACCTTTGATCAGGTTGAGTCTGACACTGTCCAGACCTATCTTGCTTAAGATGAGTATCATCTTAAGCTCTTTCGCATGGAACCAGCGCAAGTGTAGCTTTCGCAGTTCGCGTGTTATCACACTGGGGTCAA